ATTTAAATAATTTATATAAAAATTTAATAAAAATATTTCAAATAGGTCTTTTATGGAGTCAACGAGAAAATTGTTATTAGGGTTATTTAGATTTTGAGGATGAAATGCATGAGTATCATACTTTTGCATTAAATTGTCAACAAGAAATTGAATCAATATCTAAAAATAATGATTCAGTATTTAATGAACAAAAACATGAACTTGCAACACAAATTCATCAAATTGTTTGGCATTCAATTACGCACAACTTTTCATTCTCGATTTCATATATGGTATTAATAATATAACAGCACATTATTTAAATACAATAATTTTTGGGCTTGCAACTAAATTAGAATGCATAGGAATTAGAACTATTGGATCAGTTTGTGATGGAGCTGGTGAAAATAGAACACATTAAAAGTTGGGATTGGATTGCATCTAAGTTATCATGTGGGAATTTTGTAAAGTCAATATTAATAAAGATAAAAAAACATTTTTATCAGCAAATATTTTAAATAGTAATCTTGAAAGAACAAATTTACAGTAATATTAACAAATAGTTTTGAATGTATTATTGTTGATAGAGCATTTATTTTACACCTATGTTTCCAGAATTTCAAATATATCACAAAACAATAAATCTGATTACAGGAGATGATTGGTATTTTATTTCTGATCTATACATGTTTTTAAAAAATAAAGAAATAATTTCCAAAAAGGCATACTGGTGAAAAAAATTTTCGAGAAATAATGTTTGAAAATAAAGAAATCAGTTGGAAACATATTAAAGGAGTTTATGAACATACAAGTAAACATGTTACATCAAAAGTAACAAAATTAACAAAACGACATATATGGTTAACATCATGGTCAAAAATGCGTGTTGATCTTGCAGAACAAACATTATCAAAAGAAGTTGAAGATGCTTTAGAATCTATTGATGAACTTAAATAAATATTATAAAATTTATAATTTTAATATTTAAATTTACTTACTCAAGTTTTATCTGATATATATTTATTAATTATGGTTAAAATTTTTTATAGGATTTTATTAAATATTCACGAAAGTATATATAGACAAATTATGCATAGTAAACTCATTTTCCGCTCTTTAGATGATCCACGTTTTACTACTTTAAAAGAAATTCGTAACTGGTTTGTTTATGGTGATAAACAGAAGACTGAAATTAAAGAATAGATTTCTTCACAATGTCAATTTGATTTAATTTTATCCATTGATGGTTTTATTGAAATGTTAGAATTTATTTTAATAAAATATCCAGGTTCAATGATTCAACCTAAACGTATTTCACAAGATATGCTTGAGGGATTTTATGGAACAATTCGTGAATCAGGTGGAGATTCATCAACACAGACACTTAAATCTTATGGGCATGCATTAAATAAATATCAAGTAACAGCATTGGTATCATCAGAAATTAAAAAGTATTAATTATGGAAAAGTAGAAAATATTGGAACAGGAATTACTACTTTAAAAAGAAGGCGAGGTGTTATATATATTAAATTTATTTAATAATTAAATTATTTAAATATTATATATTTTATTACAATAGAGATTATCGAAAAGATAAAAAAATTTTAATAGAAAAAAAAAAGAAAATGTTTCTTTATTTCAAACATTCTAAGCAATTAGTAAAAATATCAACTCTTTCTTGCAAAGTTTTTAAAAATCTTTTGCAGATAAAGTAGTTATGGGAGAGATCGAGATTCCTTGTACAACATATAATGATAATGTCAAACAAGAAAACCTTAATATTCTTTGTGTTCAGAATCAACGGTATAATTTATTGGAGAACATTTTCTATTTAGAATCCATTGATAAGATATTACAATATTGGCAAACCAATATTAAAAAGATGGCCGTTGAATCAGTTCCAAAAAAAAATAGGGATTAAAAGGATGGAAAATTGGAATTTTCATCTTGAAGTTTATTTAGATAATTATAGATGTTCGGGAGTTTGGTATCAGGATTTTCTTGAAGCAACTCACTTAAATGGTTCTTCAACTCAAAAACTTGTTGCATTTTTACTTTTCCAAAATGTAATCAAACTTACATTCAATGAAAATATGAAACAAAATACATACATATTTTACTGTAGATCCTTATTTAATATCCGGAGATAATATTAATTTAGAACTAGCTGAAGCATCAAAATTTGTTTATATTGTTGGATGGATTATTTATAAACTAATTAAAAGTAATACAATGAAATCACATCTTAAATTCAAAGCAATGAGTGCTTATCTTAAAGTTTTAAGCTCAATTCAAACAACACTTATAATACCCGTGTCAAGATTTTTTAAATTTTATGTATAAATTAGAATCACTAGTATTATTATTATTTGATAAACACAAGGAACTTGGCACAAATATCCTTTTATATATTAATAATAGTTTATTATGTAATTTATCATTACTTGAAAATTTTAATACACTCATTGATATTTCCAACCAAATGCTTATTACAAATAATTCTAAAAATACAGAGGAATATGAAATAATGGAAGAAAACAAGAGATTTCTCTATGAGAAAATTATTTTCACATATATGAAGAGTAGACAAAAATCTTGAGAAGATTTAATGAACTTACTCCAGAAAAAGGCACTTCGAGTCTTAGGGAAAATTTTAAAACAATGAGAATTGATATTAAAAAAAATAAATAAATTAACATCTGTTAAAAAATCCAATATTCCAAAGGATCCTACACTAGGATTAAATCAGCTTCGGGTCTGGGCACAATTGGAAAATGTCAAGAAAGAATTCTCTAAAATATTTTAGTGAGCGATTTACAATGGTTACTGTGGACATTTGAAGATAATTCAAAAAAAAAAAGATAAAAATCTCATACCTTTAGTTTTGGATCATTTAAAAAAAGGAACTTTCTTTTCTGAGGAAGCTTTAGCAAAAAAAAAAAACAAATTTTCACATAAGATTATTATTGTAAAAATTTTTTTTTCTTAAATTCGATTAAATAGATTTAAAGTTCATTAATTTTTTTAAATTAAAATAAAATATGTAATTATGCAGTGATCTGATTCAAATAAAAATATTTTGTCTGCACGGTATTAATATTAAGGAACTTAACTTCCAGGATCAGCTGCTTCTATAGAGAAAATAATTTTTATAATTCCTGGTTTGTGTAACGATTCGTTAGACTTCAATTACAATTGTGTAACATTGAGTTGACCCCCTCTAAATTTGTCGCATTGATCGAGTCACGTGAAAATGATATTTATCTATTAGTAACACTTTTAATGCATAATGTGAAAACAAACGTGTTCTTATTTCTTGATTTGAAAACAGTGCTCAGATCAAGTATAAATTTCCAACAAAAAAAAAAGTTTTGTCATGCAACTGAATAATTGCTTTTCGAAAATTATAAAATTTTAATTTTTCAATATGTCCGACCAGTTGCAAATAGCAAAAAGACCAAAAGAACCCGCAAAAAATGGTAGAAATGTTCGAGTCAAAGTCAATTATTTAGAAGTTAAAGTATGAATTTTGTAAATTAATATAATAATAATAATAATAATAATGCACACACAAAATTCGAATTATTGATTTATTTTTTTTTTCTAAAAAAAAAAAAAAAAATTACATAGTTCAATTTCCCTCCCGTCAAATCTTATTCTTTCGATATTAGCGATGCAAGAAGAAAACCTTTGAAAAAAGAGGAACGTGATGAAGTGATGGCAGCATTTTTAAAATCAAAATCTCGAAAGATCATTGCTGCGCATTACGGAAGCTCATTGTATTCTTATAAAGATATTCTTAATGGTATCAGAACTAAGGAATGCAAAGTAATAGTCATTTCATTTTACAAAACTTTATCAGCTATATATACATATTTTAATAATAAAAAATCATGACTTCAAATAATTTCAATAAATATTAATAATATTTAATTATATTCAATTGTAGTTTGTTCATAAAGATTGTTTGGGTGATTCACAAAATTATATCGTGAAAATTAAATTCTCCTCAGTTATAAGTCTTGAAACCACGAGGGAATTTATTAATGGAAACCCAGATTTGTCTTGGGAGGATATACAAGAAAATTTAAACGTTCTCAATTCTTATTTAAACACCAAAGTACATACTATACTTCCTCATTTAAACAGTAAATCCAAAGCAATTTTTCCAGAACTTCCAGAAAAATGTTTTTTATCCAGTGGATCTGAAATCCTTTCTGGTTTTATGCAGTCTATTCGTATAGGATGGGGTAAATAAAAATATTTAATTAATATCTTAAAATATATATATATATATAAATATATATTTTCTTAAAAAAAAAAACAAATTTTTCTAAAAATATATATTTTATTTTAGAAAGTTTATATGTCAATGTTGACGTTTGTAACGCTCTTGTCATTCCTGAGGGAAACTTAATTGAACTTCTACCCAAATTCCTGGGTCGTAAAAATTTCGGCAGCAAAAATTTATCCGAAGATGAAATTTATTCTTTAACAAGACTTTTGAAAGGTTATAAGTTTTACTTAACCTATGACTCAAGGAGGAAAACCATCGCTAAGATATCCTCCAAATCTGCCTATAACATAAAATTTGAACGAAATGGTAAAATGGTTCGTGTTAGTGATTATTATAAAGAAACGGGGACCCCCTTGAAATATCCCATGCTTCCTTGTGTTGTGGTGGTAAAGGGGCAAGGAAGAAATCAGAGAGAAGATAATTTTCCTATTGAAGTTTGTATACTAAAATTTGGTAAACTTTTTTCTTTCATTAATCAAAAATCTTTATCAGATTTATTCATTTTAACCTATCATGATATATTGTAATATTTTTTTATTATTCATTTAGGACAAAAAATTCCGCAATCTAGTATAACAACTCCAATGCAGAAAGAAATGATAAAGTTAACCAGAATTAATCCCAATAAACTATTTAAATCTCTTGAAATTGCGAAGAAAGAACACTATGACCATAATAATGATGAATACCTTAAATCCATTGGATTGAAAGTAGCTGATAAATTTGTGGAACTAGACTGTAATTTT